GGACTGAAGGGGGTTCGATGCCGGTCAAGGGCATGTACCTTGGTTGTGAGCTTGATCCCCAGTAGGGGGCATGTAGGAAGCAGCTGATCAGGATGTTTCCAACTATCCCTCTCCCTTCCTCTCTGTAAAAAAATCAATAAAAATATATTTTTAAAAAGAATCCCTTCTTCCCAGATTTGAGGCGTGAGAGTGTATGATGTGAAAGGCATATTTGTAATCAGTGTATACATGGTCTTATCCATGACCAGAGTTAGGGCAGTCAGTTGTCTTCTGGGAGGGAGTTCCTTGGGGAAGAGACTGACTCAACAAGTCCATCGAGTGATACTACAGCGTTGGGAACAGGGGCTACCATCAATAAACCAAGTGTAATTAGTACTAGATAAAGGCTGATCCATATTTGAGAAGTGGGGGATTTTGAAGTCAAGAATTTCTCTGCATGAATGTGAGATCTTTGTTAGGAATGGGTAAGAGTGGCAGGGTTGTGTTTGGCATTTAGCTTTCATTAGTTGAAAGGTTTGGAGAGGTCAGAGAGAGAAGCCAAAATGAGAGCTTGTTGAAGTCTTTTGAAATATGGGCTATTAGTGGTGGGATTTAAAGGTTGTCAATGGACCTCTTGGTGTCTGATATAAGGCATGAGCAAGGACACTGAAATTGGGGATCCAAATGTGGAAGTACCCTGCAAGTCCCAAGGAGAGGTCTTGTTTTGAGGGAGAAAGGGAGGCAGTAAGTTCCTTTCCATGTAGGATGATGGCACGGTGTTGGGGAGTTGTGGTGAGACCCATGTAAGTGACCTGGGAGGCTGACTGTTGAATCTTTTTTGAGACTTGGTATCCTTTCTCTGCTAAGTAATTGAGGAGAGTAGTAGTATGTTGGTGGGAGATAGTAGGAGCTACGGAGGTGGAGGTAGTCTACATATTGGAGAATACTGGGGCCAAGATGGAGATTGGGAAGGTCTGACACCAGTGCCTGTCCGAAAAGATGGGGGCTGCCTCAAAAGCCTTGGGGAAGGACAGTCCACCATGAGAGCCGACAGGATTATTGGGTTGTGGGATCAGTCCAAGTGAAGGCAGAGATTCTGAGCCTGGGTGTAAAGGGGATGGGCAAAGAAAGGCATCCTTCAGGTCCAGGGACCATGAAGTGAGAGGTGTTGGGTACCATGGGATGTGCGGGGAGGACAGCTTGATGACCCAAAGATTCTGAACTAGGTGGGAAGGAGCTATCTGGTTTCCTTGAAGACAATGGGGTATTGTATGGGAGTTGTGTGGCTATTAGGTTTAGGACATTTATGACAGCTGGGGGCCCTTCCTGTCTCCTAGGATAGAAAA